AGTGAAATTCCGACAAACGACAAGGCAAGCCCTCAAGTCCCGACATGTGGGTAACTGAGGGACTGCCTTCGGCAGGGACATAAAAGCAACAACTCCTCACCAACTTCAGAGATCACGACGGGACAACATCAAAGGGCAAGCACAAATTACTCCTTTTCCCTCCAGTACCTTTCGGCAAAAGGAGTGAGGGACTCCTGATGGAGTATATGGCCCGGGAACCCCCGGCCCACAGACTCCTACTACTCCAGCAAAGGCCCAACAGGCCCAAATCACTGCGCCCAGAGTACCAAGCAGCCCGCACTACGCGCCAGGGGTGCCTTCGGCCCCCTGGCCGAAGGCTCTAAACTCTCACAGAACGGGTTTCTCAAGCAAACTAAGAAACTGGGAGAAAACGGCGAAAACAGTAGCCCTCGGCACTTTGAGCCCTCGGCACCAAGGTGCCATCGGTTGGAGGAGCCCTCGGCTACTGCTCCATAGCCGAAGGCATCTCACTCGACAGGATATCCGCCTCACATGCGTACAGATCGCCGTACCCTGCACAGACGTCCCATCCAACAGCCGCATTAAATGCGGCCACATGCGGCTGCCAGCGCCAACCAGTTGAGGTGACCCCTCGGCCAATGAGCGCTTGACACGTGTCCCTGTCCGGCATTTATTGCTACTATAAATAGCACCCCATTTCCCCATTTGTAACCACGCTGAAAACGGCATTCATACTGAATACACTCTCTCTCTACTTTTACTTACTTGCTCTGACTTCTCTCTAAGTTATTCCCCGTAATAACCCTTCGGATATATACCCCCGGGTAGACTATCCATCAATATTATATATACTATATATAGTTATACATTATATTATATATTACTTATAATATATTTACACATTATATATTTATATATACTATATATATATGTGTATATATATATATAAATTACTTAATTTATATATACACTTCTTGTTTATCTATTAAATTACTTAATTGTTTCATTTGTCATATTAATATTAGTTAAAGTAGTTAATTGATTCATTTGTCATATTAATATTAGTTAAAGTAATTAATTGTTTCAGTTGTCATATTAATTGCTCATTAAAGTAGTTAATTTTTACATTTCTCATATTACTTGATTGCTACATTGCTCATTCAAGTAAAAAAAGTAGTTAATTTTTACATTTCTCATATTAGTTAATTACTTAATTGCTACATTTTTACATTTCTCATATTAGTTAATTACTTAATTGCTACATTTTTACATTTCTCATATTAGTTAATTGCTACATTTCTCATTAAAAAAAAAAGTAGCAAATTTTTACATTTCTCATATTAGTTAATTGCTACATTTTTACATTTCTCATATTAGTTAATTGCTACATTTCTCATTAAAGAAAAAAAAAAGTAGTTAATTTTTACATTTCTCATATTAGTTAATTACTTAATTGCTACATTTTTACATTTCTCATATTAGTTAATTGCTACATTTCTCATTAAAGTAAAAAAAACTAGTTAATTTTTACATTTCTCATATTACTTAATTGCTACATTTTTACATTTCTCATATTAGTTAATTGCTAATATTTATTCAATTTTAAAGATGGAGCGTGGTAGACATTCTGTAGATGTGGGTAATCTCCAACGCAACCGCAAGAGGGAGATTGCATCGACTCGATCTACTTCACGCAAAGGCAAAGGTAAAGCGCGGGCCGAGTCTTCTTTTCAAAGTCGAGATGATTTTGAAACGGATTACCAACGGCGAGATGAAATGATGATGTCCGGCGAGCAACTACAACACCTATTGTCCCAAAATGATCCACGTTTTGCACAAGAATAACAATTCCCGACAACCATCGATGAAGAGGAGCTCGAGGATGACGATGCGGAGGAGGCCGGACGCGGGGGGCGACGGGACTCCGGATGATGAGCAAGAGTTGGAGGACGAGGGCCGTTCAACGACTACAACCCAAATTGGTAAGAAATCTAAATCTCCTATTATTGAAAACAATTATACAAAAAGGAAAGACGAACAAACCGAAAAATGGTACGCAAGTTGCAATCATTGGAAGAAAGAGTTTAGCTTGGGAACTTCTGGCGGATACGGGAGTCTCAAAAGGCATCTTCAGTCCGCCCACTTTGTGGAGTATGCGAAAAGAGACAAAGGAAAGGGGAAGCAAACACAAATATCGAGGTTTGCAAATTCTCAACCCTTTGGTAATTTTTCCTATGATGATAAAAACATTTGACTGGTATGTCTCATTTAATTGTTGAAGAAAATTTACCCTGTATTTTTTCCGAAAGTCTTGCTTTAAGAGATTATGCTCAAGGTACTTTAAATCCTCAATTTAGAAATTATAGTCGCAAAATGATTAAAAAAGAAGTTATAAGGCAATATAACTTGGAAAAAGAAAAATTACAAATATTTTTCGCAAACTTTGATGGACGTGTTAGTATTTGTAGCGATATATGGGAGGATACTTATCATCATTTATATTATTTGGGTCTAACTGCACATTATATTGATGATGATTGGAATATGCATAAATGTGTTCTTGTTTTTCGTGAATTCAATGATCGTCACACTGCTGATAATATTTATATTCTCATTGAACGTATTTTAATTGAGTATAATTTGATTGATAAGGTGTTTGCTGTAGGTTTTGATAATGCTAGTAATAATAATGCTGTTATACCTAGATTACGTGAATTGTGTGGTGCTTCTACATTGATGGGTAGGTTTTTTCATCAACGTTGTGCATGTCATATTCTAAATTTGTGTGTACAAGATGGCTTAGCGGCATTAGGAAATGCTTTGGAGGTAGTGAAGGAGGGAATTAAATTGATTTGGGCTAGCACTCCACTAAAAATGCAATGGCGGCAATATTTGAAGGATAGACGTGTGAATTATTGTGCTTTTCCTAAAGATTTGTCTATTCGTTGGAATAGTACTTATAATTTAATTCAAGTACTTGTTAGATATAAAGATCATTTTCCAGCTTTTTTAAGACAAACTTGTAACTATATTATAAACTCGGCTGACATCGACACTTGTGAAAAAATTGTTAATGTTTTGGCATATTTTAATAACGCAACTCTAACTTTTAGTCATGTTTATAAACCTACCGCAAACGAATTTTTTGTTGAAGCTGTTTAATCTCGCCGGCGCTTTTTGTGAATTTTCCGAAGCCACTTACGTTAGTTATTTTTGTGATTTCATGAAACAAAAGTTTTTAAAATATTATTCACATATTCCGCATATATATGGTATTGCATTTGTTCTTGATCCTCGTTATAAACTTGCTTACTTGGCAAATTGTGAGGCCGTTTGGTAACTTTTTTTTCGGCTTATTAGTCTTATCAGCCAACTTTTTCACCAAACACGTAATTTTTACTTTCGCACGCTGAATTGTGTAATAAGCAGAAAAAGTAAGGTTAGAGTTACTTTTCTGGCTGTATTGGCTGAAGTTACTGTAGATGGTCATTTTAGCTATTTTCCATATAATTTTTTCTTTATTTTATTAATAAAATATATTTTAAAAATAATTTTTACTTAAATCAGCAGAAACAGCCAAAGCAGCCACTTCAGCCAGAACTTCATAAATTTCAGCAGAATCAGCCAAAACAGCCGATTTTCGTGCTACCAAACGGGCTCTGTATAGATTACTATTATGCTTCTTTTTTTCCAACTCAAGAGTTCGATGATAATCCCATCGACCCTAAACAAGAATTCAACGAGGTTAGTAATTTATTTCATCAATTGTATAATGAATTTCATGCACAATATGGTAATGCACCCCCTCCCATGCAACGAACATCTTCTTCATCTAAAGGAAAATCACTTTTAAAATCCGTTTTTGGTTCTCTTTTGAAAAAAAGTAGAGCAACTCCCGCTACTGAACAAAGCTCAGGTAACGAGCTTTCTTTGAATCTAACATTGAATGTTGATTATGAAGTTGGTGATGACTTTGACGTTCTTAAGTGGTGGAAAGAAAATGAAAGAACATTCTCGATTTTATCAAAGATGGCTAAGCAAGTGCTAGCAATGCCGATATCAACCGTTGTCGTGGAACAAGAATTTAGTGCGGCCGGCAACGTCCTAACCGATTATAGAATGAGGTTGAATCCGAGCTCTCTTGAGACACTAGTTTGCTTTCACGATTGGTTGAAGGCTCAACGAAGAACTCAAAAAATTACCATCACTCTCACCCGCCACTTTATGGAGGAAACAACCGAAGGCGGAGATTCCGATTGATTTTTTATTACAAAATGTATTACATTTTTTAAATTCATCCTAATTCTCAATTGTACTTCTTATTTGAAATAAATATACTTCAATTCGAATATAATATATTGTAATTGTAATAAGAATTATTCTAATCATATAATACGTAGTATATATATAAAAAAAAAGGCACAACCCGCCGGGCAGCCCAGCCCGTGAACCGGGCAGGTGACCCAAACCAAACCGGACCCAGGGTTATCCGGGCCGGTTCCAGGCCTGCCTTCCTTGAACCGAGGCCCGGCCGGTTCTAGGCCCGGCCCGAACCGAGTCCACCACCAAGTCAGTCCATGCAATTTTGGACGGGATTTTCACTATGGGTCATCCGTAAACAGTCTCTTTGTGCTTTAGTACAGGGGTAAGACTGCGTACATTCGATCCCCCTTACCCTACCGTAGGTGGGAGCCTTTGCGACACTGGGGTAAATGAAAATGATGATTAGCATCAAAACAGTGAAACTTTTCATATTTGAGGTGTTCGTCTTCATTGTTTACATTAAAGCTTCACAAGTCTTCAAATACAAGTCTTACTATCGGAGATGGTCCTACGAAAGCGATGCTACTCAACTTGTCCGGCATTTTACATGACATTGTCAAATATCATTTTAAAATTGAAATGTTCAAATAATCTCCAACATCTCTCCAATTTCGGCCCCACTCCGAGAATTACTGGTCGAGATGGGCAAAATTTTGACCACAGCTAAAAAAGGCACCTACCAGAAGTCCAGAACAAAGGGAAAACCATCTCGAACTTTCGTTATAAATACTGTATAAAATACAGAACGGAATATATGGATAAAACAACTTACTTAGGAGTCCTACACATCTACCTACTGCCCATATGGTTTCATAATAAAAACTTAACCACATGAGCAAGTTTGTTCGCTGGAGAAAACTTATAAATAATAACAATATAATGATAATTATAATAATAACAATAATAATAATAATAAACTAAAAAACAGACCAGAGTAGCTTGGGGAAACAACTATAACTAATACCTGATTTCCCCACTATTTCAAACCTCCATATGTTAAAAAATACAAAGGTAGGATATACAATGTACAGACTAGACTATACCAAACCTTAATTGAATTCCCCAAAACTTTTGTGCAAGTGGCCTTATCCGTCCATCCATCAGGGGTGCAAACAAAACCATCAAAGCAGCAGCTGTCCAGGACTTCTTCGCGCTGATCGTATGGGAGGCCCATTAAAGTCTAGCACTGGGCCAGGTTGTTTGGATTCTTCGAGCCTTTGGATCCCCTGAAAAGAAACGGCATCATAATACAAAGACCAAAACATGCAAGTTAGGTAAGTCAAACGGTTAAGGAAAAGGAAAAAACTATTGACAAGAGAAACCATACAGCAAAAAAATCATTAAAAGTTTAATCAGATTACCAGCATTTAATCATTAATAAACATTATAGTTTATGATGTTAGCCACACCACCCGAAGAAAATTCGATAGCAATGAGATAGTATGTCACCAAACCTTGGGTGATGAATTGGAACTGCAGCGTGAGTGTGACACAGCCTGTAACTTTGAATGCATATGATGGAGCTGTTGGATGTGTTCAAACAGTTGTAGCCGTGTAGAGAAATTTATTCCATTGTGCATACCATCATGCGAATCTTCAAAGAAATCACCATCATCTGAAATTTGTGCGTCACCCCTTGAGTTACTACTTTTAGAATAAGGGTTCCCCAATGTCTGTCTAAGGTGAGGACCACTACTAAAAGAGTATGAAGGCACAGTTTTCAAACGAGTCCGAAGAATCTTGAAGGCTCCACTTTGCTGCACAAATAACACAGATGAACTTGGGCAGTTGTTACTTGTCATATTTACACAAGACATGCACTCATGACTCCTTCCTTGATTGTGGGGAAACAATGTTGAACACTTGAACTGAGTGTTAATCATAAATTTTAATTTTAACCTTACCAAGATAGAGTATTTACTCTACATCCATGTTTAATGATTGAAATTTAGGGTCAACAACTTTAAATGGTTGCAATTCTCCAATTGTTTTTTATATTTCCTACGTAGTATTTATTATGCCATTTCTGTATATACAAATCATATAACAAATACTCCGTATTAAATTCATTGGGGCATCAAATTTTGAAAATAAAACGAAGTTAGTAATTCCTTGACCTGTTATAAAACCAGATGTGTAATAAGGTATGGAAAGCATTAAATACTTCCACTAATGTAATTCCAAACAAACTACATGTCGTTTTTCTTGATTTAGTTTCATTGAAATGGTGTCTATTCGCAATCATTTTTTTACAGAATCATAAATAATTGCTTAACATCATATACAATCTTCTTGTGCACCTCAAGACTTCTCCCCTATATGAATATTCTGTTTTTAAAAAATGCATCTTCTTTTATGTGAAAAAGGTACTTTTGAACCCCAAGTTGTATAGAAATAGACATAGCTGTCATGGTCATCATGGCACCAAGGCAGATTGCCTTGGCAACGAAACATTTATGGCATCACCACATAAATAATACTCCCTCCGTCCCTAAAAAATTGACATCTTTTCTTTTTGGGAAGTCCCAAACAAATTTCCACTTTCCCTTTTACTCGACTAATTTATGGTTCTTGTTATTTCTCTCAATCTGCACAAACATCAACAACACAATTTTTACTTGATTATTCTCCATGCCGGTCCAATTTGGCAAAATTTGAACTTTTTAAGGGACGGATGGAGTATCAAATATATATATAGACAAATGTTCAGATCCGGAATTCCGGACCAGAACCGCCGTCCGGCCGACGGCTTTTGGGGCCCTTCCCGGTGGCTTTTTTTTATGAAATTCATATGGCATGTTCTTCATCAAGTCTAGTTTATCCACAAAATAATTCAGCTAAAAACTCAATCCGGAAGGTCGTCAAATGAATTTCGGAAGTTAACTGCGTTTTATATGTATTTTTGGGGGCAGTTAACTTCAAAAAATCATTTGACAACCTTCCGGATTAAGTTTTTAGCTGATTTTTTTTGTGGATAAACTAGACTTGATGAAGAACATGTCATAACAATTTCATCAAAAAAAGCCATCGGGAAGGGCCCCAAAAGCCGTCGGCCGGACAGCGGTTCCGGTCAGAATGGCCTGACCGGAACACTACTCTCTCTCTATATATATATATATGAGCCATTCTCCTGTCCAGCAGCCTTCCGTCCAAACGCTGTCCGAACACCGCCGTTTGGGGCGGTTCCCGGTGGAATTTTTTGTTGAAATTTTTTGAGCATGTTCCTCATCAAGTCTAGTTTATCCATACCAAATTTCAGCTTAAAATTCGATCGGGAAGGCAGTCAAATAATTTGTTGAAGTTAACTACGCAAAATTGTACATAGAAAAACGCAGTCAACTTCAAAAAATGATTTGAATGCCTTCCCGAACGAATTTTGAGCTGAATTTTTTTTTTGGATAAACTAGACTTGATGAACAACATACCATAAAAATTTCATCGAAAAATTCGACCGGGAGCCACCCCAAACGGCGGTGTTCGGACGGCGTTTGGACCGGGGGCTGCTGGACCTGAGAATCTCTCTCTCTCTCTCTCTCTCTCTCTCTATATATATATATATATATATATATATATATATATATATATATTGAATAAAGATCAAATGAGAACAATGCTTAACGTGAGAACGTGAGAACACCACATTTACCCCAACGTGTTGCACAATGAAGCTTGTATATTGCACTTTTTCACGTTTTCACAATATTTACCAAAATGCCACCGTGTTTATTAATAGAGGCTTAATTCGAGCAAATTGAAAATGTGCAACAGAAGAGCTCATTTGTGCACCACATTGATTTAAACGTGAGTGTTCTCACGTTCTCACGTTAAGCATCATTCTCATTGGAATCGTACCCTATATATATTGTAATATGAATTATAGAGTAAACTAACAAGCATAACAGTTTGCTGTGGCGATTGAACCGTCAATAAAGAGTTAAATAACTGAATTTCTAAAACAAAGAAGCCAAGTCAAAATAGTGCCAATAATCCTAATCAAGGACAACTAATTAAATAACTAAAAAAATCTCACGTCTTCCAAAAAATGTGAATTTATAGTTCTCACATTATGATCTGTTCATTATCAGTCAATAAGACTCCTAGTTCTCTCAGCACTCTGGCGGTCTCTTGGTCGACGCACAACCTCTATAGTGGTCGTTAGGCTGTGCACACCTTTTCTACATACCATACTAGTGGTCTGCTGTTTTGTGGTGCAGCTCCTCTTATTGTAGGCCTCGGTTGTTGTTAGTAATATTTGGCTTGGTTGGGTATTAAAACTTTAAATTATACGTAGTATATTGTGTCCTATGTCCTATGTGACCAATTATTAGTTAGGTCCAAGTCCCTAAATAATACTGGCATATGGTGCATAAATTGGTAGAAGTGTTCAAATTTGGTCAATCAATCATGAGTGAAGTGACACTTGTTAACCTTTTGATAGTTCATGGTGAAAACGTATTAAACCATACAAAATCCTAATCTATTAAGGCTAATAATGAAATCTTCCACATTATTTTCTAACATCCCTCTCATAATTACTTTAAATGTATAGCATTTTTAACATTATATAGAAAATAATAATCTTCTCCACACAAATGCAATTGTAGGAAGCAATTTAAGTTCTTGCAACTTGAAAATTAACCAATTTTGAAGGTTCATACTCTCTCAACAATAGCATATGTAAGAGATCAAGAATGAAAATTCAGGCATTCAACCGGCAAGGCTACCATTAGAAGAGAAGACTGCTTTGAATTTACAGCTTCATCTCTAAAAGTCTCATATTTATAACTGTCATATTACTTTTAATGACACATTTCTTAGTAAATGGTCAAAAACGCGACTTTGCAACTAGTTGCAGGTCCAGATCTAGAAGCCCCTACAACTGGAGACTGTGTCAATGATAGAGATCCAGCTAGTCTACTTACTCAGAATAGATGGTTCGGGCGAGTTTATTCTAGAAGGCCTAAAATAGACTAGCGGGTTATTAGTTGTGAGTTGTTAGCAACTAATAACTACCTTCTGTTTGTAGAAGGATATAAATAGTATATTTCTGCTGTAGGGTGGCAGGCTGTTTTTAGACAAATTGTCTGGGACTGGGAGTTGGAGTTCTATCTCCTTCTTGGGACAAGTGTATATGACTTACCTTCTGTGAATAATATTCTGTTTCTTACCATTGTTCTTAACTCTGTTGTGATTGATTCTGGATTGTGGAAGTCGTATCATTGGTATCAGAGACTGGTTGTAGTGGTGAATGGTTGGCACGAGAAAGAAAATGGAAGGGAGAATGAATGACGTTGAACGTGGTCAACGTGAAATACAGGCCAGTATGGAGATCTCTAACAGTCAACTATTATATACATTTGATGAGTTAAAAATGCACTACAACAACAACAACATCCAAAACTTAATCCCAAAAGAATTTGGGGTTGGCTAACATGAATCGATCTATGATATCGATGCCAAACAGAGAAGTCAGACAAGAAAGGGAAGAAAAAAAGTAAGATAAAACAAAGAAAATAAAGATAAATAAATATAAGATAACAATAACACAAGAATATAAGAAGGATAAAAGATAAAAAAAAGAGAATAAAAAAAGCTAGAAGATAAAAATAACATAAGAATATAAAAAGATAAAGAAGATAAACAATAAAAGAAAAAAAGAGAGGGGTTAAAAATGCACTATTGTCAATTAATTTTTGGTGGTTACAAATTCTTAAAGAAAAGAAAAAATATGTAAGCATACAAGAATTTTGATGTACATATCAAACAAAATTCCACAACAAACCTGTGGTAGCAGCATTAGCAAACCATACAAAGCTTGTAACAACCAGATGTATCTTCCAGGTTCAAGGAGCTGCCAGGAAACAATGATGGATATGCTTAACAGCAACTATTTAATGAAAATACTCGGGCTATACACCAAAACAAGATTTTAGTAAAAGTGAGGCCATTAATATTCCATCACTAATCAGTAAAAAATGATCAAGTTATGCCAGGTATTTCAATAGGAAACTTTTCTTTGAGCAGGTTTGGGAAGTGTAGTAAGTTTATATCCGTGGGCTTTAGTACCTCTAAAAACACAATGGTTTACAGCACCTACACATGTCCAAGCCTTTGTTATTTTTAAAATAAGGTGGGTATCTTAGCTTGTACATATAGACTGTTATTGAGAAGAGAGATGGAAGGGGCTGTGTTTTGGAGTCTATTATTGAAGAAGTGTTCTATGTTCTATCCTGATTTAATAATATGATAATATTATCAATGGAAGGGTTTTATGTGTTTTCCAAGACTGTATCAATGCAAGGAAGCATTGATATATCATGTTCCTGATTTGATAATTTGATAATATGATAATATTACGATGGATACAACCAAACTCATGTTTTATGTACAACGCAAGGATAAGCATCATCAGAAATGCAAAATGAAAGTACAAATTTGCTCAAGAACCAAACATCTCAATGAGAAAATCAAAGCACCTGCAGCCTCAAGTAAGCAAATGTGGGAGTCTCCAGAAGGTGGATTAATTTGTCGAGTTGGACCAAAAACCTAACATTGATGTCTTCCTCAACCAGAGACCGAATGACAGAACTAGCATGCTGATATGCCTGCAATGTAGTTCCCGAAGCAGCAAACACAAGGAAAAACTATCACACTTACAAATTAAAATAAGGAAAATGTTGTGTTTCATAAAACGGTAACAGCTTGAAAATGACCCAACACAGATTCTTACTTGTGTTAAGAAGCAGAGACTAATTGTGGCCATTGGAGAATGACACCACGAAGCATACAAAGAAAGAAAAAGATCTTTCCCCGAACCGTTCAGTAATGATTGTTTAAGCAGATCACGAAGTTCAGACAGTTCAGATGAAGTGAGCAAAATCAAGTTCAAGGCCTGGAAAAAATACAAAACAAACATTTGTTTGTAAATAACTAAGCAAAAACGAGCACATGTTCATTAGAGTTGACTAAATAAGCCATTCCACAATGTCATCATATCACTTTAAAAGAGATTTCCTATGGCATTATCTACCTCTACTGTAAGTGTCACAAAATAAGCCGTTACAGTGCATTAATAATCATCTGTAAGTGTCACAAAATAGTAAAACCTGCACCATCGTTGATGCAAAATCCAGATCTGATTCCCCTTCTAGTATTGTGGAAAGTTCCCTGTAAACTCTTTCAGCATCCAGAAGCACACAGAGCCGCCGAACTATCAAAGCACCACGTCTGGTATAAACAAGAAGCCAATAAAAGATGCTGAATTGACACAATAGAAACACACAAAAACACAAAAACATTAGGCAGCTAAAGTTATGCACTAACTTCTCTAGGAGAGAATGGTCATCTCGAAAACTATGGACCAAGAAAACTATAAGTTGATGGAAGTGTTGTGGATCTTTGGCAACACATGCATGCACATCAAGCACCAGAAGCACTACCTGGTAAATTGGGAAATCAGATAAGTTTCTTAAGCAGTGCTAGAGATAACAAAGCCTGATGGAGCCAGAAGGAACAAAGTAATATGAAGGTTAAACTGTTAAAGAAAGTCACTGATAAATAAGAAACATTTGCTAGGAAGAAACTCAACCAAAGAAACAATCAAATGCTTATGGAATTTCTTTACCAACTAAAAACATCATTTTTAAAGCACTAATTTCAGAACCATTGCATGAACACTTCTATATCGATTTGTCCTAACATCTATCTTATAACAAGGAGGTTATGATTGACATGGTATTCCATGAGTGAGAGAGCCTCAAATTGAAAGATTAGATTGAAACAGATGTTAGTTTATAATGTGGTGGGTTCAACTAGCTAATTGGTTGGATTCAACAATCAACATTTACAACTAGGTTTGACCCATACACATAAATTCCAACCAATTAAAGGACTCAACTCCAAACAGCTCTCATGTTGCCTTTCCCCCAATTCTACATCTTAAATTCGAACATCAACAATCATATTTTACAAGCTAGTAGGCTCAGGCAATCACTAGGACATCCTAAGCAACATTAGAGTACTCAAGACCTAAAGTATTGTAGAAGTTATAACTCGCATTTCAATGATGACAAAAAATATGAAATCACATCAGTGACATAACAAAAGAAACTGCGGTAAATTAGAAATTGATGCAGTGCAAGAAAATACCTCATCTGAAGGATCAGAGAGAGCCTTAAGAAGTGTGACAAAAACATCATTTAGATAAACTAAGACCTGTTCCAAAAATTAAATTACAGAGTGAATACCTAACTTTCATAGTGGCATAGTGTTACAGAAAAAAATATATACTTCGTACATTGGTTGACAGAGAGATTAATCATTCATACTACAGTCAAAATTGCCAACCCATGTAAAAGAATATTGCAGACTTTGTATCATTTATCTTTCTTATGTTCTTATGTTGTTGTTATATTTTATTTATCTTTATCTTATCCATTTTATCTTACTTTTTTCCTTATTATCTTTCTTCTGTTTTTGACACTGATATCATGGATCGATTCATGTTAGCCGACCCCAAAATCTTTTGGGATTAAGGCTTAGATGTTGTTGTTGTCTATCCATTTAAAATCCATATCAAGGTAAAATTATATGCATTTAGAGTTTAGATGCTAAGAGAGAGGCACCAGGTTCCTTTCTGAGCATAACATTCCAATAAATAAGTATGTTATCTGTCATTACCTCCATGCGATGCCTAGTTAGCAAATTTGACATCCAGTGCAATGCTTCTATCCGTGTTGCCTCAAATTCACTAAACAACTGCCTGGCATAGAAATCCCAACATGAGGTTCATTCTCACAAAACGTCATAATACTAATGGCAGGACACACCTAGACAACCACCACTCCACCAGTATATAGGAGCATAATTTTTCATGGGGTGACCTCAAGGCAGGAGAGTTGAAGGAAAATAATAAACAACTGAGCACAATACTTCACTTTGTTGAGCATCTATACCTTCTAGCAATAGCTAGGATTGCTCCAACATCAAACCCCTCATTTGGATCAACTTTGATTGATCGAAGTTCATCATTGGTTTCACGAGCAACCTAAAAAGAAAAGGGGAACAAGAAGAAATGGATGATTAGTGATGTAACTATGATTTCATGATTGACTACTAGTAATTTAGTAAAATACTAACATGTCAGAAAAACATCATAATTCAATATTGAAAGTGAAAAACAACAATAACAACTTACAACTCTTATCTTTTCTTCCTTATCAGCGATACAAGGCAAAATTGCTCCGAGAATATCAGCATAATAAGGAACCAGTTGATCTCCACCAAGTTTTACAAACTCATTTATCTAAACAGAAAAGACACGCCTTGAAACTTGAAAAGGAATTATGAAAGGAGAGGTAAAGGCAAGTGTACAATTTAAATTTGGAGAAAAAAACATACATCACACTTCCCATAACCCACTTGGTTAAACATTGCATATAATAGCATCAACTACAATAAACTCAGCAGTAAAGCATGTGCAAGTGTTGTTACCCAAGTAATTGCTGTCAGCCGAGTAAATTCATCAGGTGAGGCTGCCCTCTGCACCAATATCTCAGCCATACGACCATAATCTACAGACTGAAGTGGACACATTCAAGTCAGAAAAAAGGAGGAACCCCGGGTGGTTTTCTCAGAGTCAAAACACTAAATTCTGGACAGTAAATTGTAATTTTCTTAAATAAACAGAACTAATTATTTTCTTCCATAGAAGAGATTAGCCACTGATTCACACAATACATTTTCTAAAACTAAAGCACGCATGCACTGTGCCATCCTCATGGAATGGGAATCTAAGCAACACACAATCTGTCACCACTTATGCTTTGAATATTTTCTCATCTCCGGGTTCATTTAATTGTCGTATCTGTAGCAAAGTTTCATAAATGAAATGTCATAGTTGACAGTGTTTTTATTTTTGAGTAGAATCTGATGTAATTAGCATGAAATATGTGATGACCTCAAATTGAGGTCCTTAACTTCATGGTGTTTTGTACTTCTGTGTTTGGCCTAACTTCTTACTTTTGGAGTAGATAAACCCCAAATAAGTCAGTCAAACAAGCACATAAACTACAAAAGCAACTTACAAGTTCACACATTTCATAAAAAGAAAGTCCACCACCATAACTGGAAAGTTCTGTTCTTCAAGATGAAAACTCTTACTGGAGAGTTCTTGATTTCCTGAAGAAACTCTGAAAGTGCAGAATCAGCTTGTTGTCGTATTTCATGGCTAGAATCACTTAGCATATTAAATAAACCTGCAGTTGAACACATCAAGAAAATCAATGTGTCACATAAACAGTGGCGGACCCACTAAAGGTCCCATGCGGTTCCGGGACCCCACGCACTTCCAAAAAAATACTTATATATATTATATCTATTTTATATAAAATTAACCTAAAAACGTATATATACATCAAACACTACTATGAGACTTAAAGAATGAAGCAGAGGAATGGTCGCACAGGTATTTCAAAGGTTTCCTACTTGTGAGGTACAGGGGTTGATTCCCTCAAACACCCATTTTTTTAAACTACCCCATTTTTTTAAAACTCGCCCTTTTTTTAAACTTATTACTACGTGTTTTGAAAGACCATAACTACTAAAATACGGAGCACATCAAAACTTACTATTTAAACCTAACCACATACAGTCTCGCAGCATCGGTTCATCACGCATACACGCATGAGTCACGCGGCGCAGCGGCCCTCGACTACCTCCACGCTGCACCGCCATTGCCGGACTTGGCCGGTACAAAGAATTTGAAGGAAAAAAATCTACCCGAAATTTTTTACTCAAAAAATAAACACATTTTATAAATTTGGGGGGGGGGGCAGGCCTAGGTTGACCCTCCCCTAGCTCCGCCCTTGGCCACCGCCAGACCACCACCAGGCGCCCAATTCGGCTGGCCAGACCAAAAATCCGACACACGCACGCCCAGGTTTTGATGTTACCCCTACATTTTTTTGAAAGAATGTTACCCCTTACATAATTCAATTTTTTGGATTAATTATTAAAATTTCTTTGAATGTTTACATGAAGTTATTAAATTTATGTATTTATGAATGTTTTTTGAATATTTTATGATTTAGGATGAAAAGATATTTCGATAGTGTACCCAGATTTAAAGAAATTTGGAGTACCGGGAGTAGTTCAAATGTTAATTTAAATGATTCGTCATTATTACATGAATGATTGAATCAAGTAATTGCCGAAAGTGAACTAATTTGGCTTACAATCTGCATGCCCAACATGTTGATTTTGAATCTTTGGATGCCGGTCTCGGATTGAGAAAAAAATTGTTGATTTTCATTTTAATGTTCAAGGTGAAAATTGCTGACAGAAAAAGTATTTTACTTTTTTTATTGATTTAATATTAATTAGAGTTACATTAGGGTAGGGACCCCATGATTCTATTTTTCTGGGTCCGCCACTGCACATAAAGCATACTCCACACCATTCTATTTTAGCACTCGCTTTGGAGGAGAAAATTTCTTAAAAAATGTTGCTTTAGGAAACAAGCAAAAAATGATCATTTTCAACCATTTCCCAACTAAACCCATAAATGTAGCATGATACTCTAAAACACTGATATGGCCAAATTGGGTATTCTAGTCATATTACTTTTGCCTCGACTTATTTTAGAAATCTCTCCGTATGTGTGCAAACACATAAAAAGATATACGTAGTACAAAAAAAAAGAGTGAGCACCCAGTACCCTCTGAACAAAAAAAAACACATGAAAACATGCCGTCTAGAAAACCATGAGAAGAGTGCCAATACCATCAAGGAAATCAGGAAGGAACCCAAGCATATCAATATCAGGAACACTGTCCAATACTGTGATCCACCCAACCAAAAACTGCCGCACATAAGGATTCAGGACATTCATGCGTTCTCTCAACAATGGTATAAATTCTTCAATGCTGACACAGAAAAAGAAAATGAAGCTGTTTATTGTCATGTTGCTAAACCTTAAGAGAAATAAGACATAGGAACGAGTTGATCAAACCTGAATTGATCACTCTCAGTAACAATGTCCTGCATTTAATAGAGGTACAGGTGAGCATTACATCTCAAGATGTAAAAAATTAGAATGTACACTAATCATTACAAAGAATATAGAAGTCCATGCATTGCAGTAAAGGGTGACCTTCTCAATCCAAAATATTTCCGGCCAAATGTTTGTTCAGCAGAATGTAACTCAGCCAGTGGGGGAAAGAGAAAAACAGCTAAGTTTCTTAAGGAGTAGAACGGACATCAAGCCTTTGATGTCCCTAAGACAGAGACAAGTTGTTCTTTCCCTGTGCATTACATCACTGACCCCGCCCCGCCGCTGATGCTGATATGCTATCATAGTGACTTAGATTGCACTAATGTTAACTTAAATAGTTAACTCAAACTTAATATTAAAGCATTACAGAGTCCAAATCTTAGATTGCCTGTTCCTATCAACAGTCAACTGCATAGAATTTTCTCTTCTCGTTTACACAAATCACTGAACCAAGTTCTGATCATCAAACTTATTACTTATAAACTTCATTGATACTGTTTTCTATGATATTTTACACCATCTAACTTTTATTCCTTAAGGATTATAAAACCAATGCATCATAAACACATAAAGTATGGTATCACTGAAGTTTAAATTTTAAATGGATTCATTCCATCCCAATATAACTATTTTCTCTGCTGTTAACTTCACTCAAGCAGTGCACCCAATGTGCTCAATTTTATCTCCACTCATTGTTATATAACAATTACAGAGAGTACCATCCAACCCAAGAGCAAAAGCATCTACAAGTACACCATCTGTGTATGCCACATTACCCCTAGCAAAACTTTGCCCAACAACTTTAGATCTCGTCATCATGAACTGAAAATGGGCAAATTTCATAGATATTTTTGTAATTCTAATTTATTTAGGGACCCCCACCCCCCGGGGCCAAAACACTCCCATATGATTCTGCATTAGTGCAACGTTATATGTACAAATTTCTCGAAGTGCATACAAACTGTGTGTGGATCTCTCCAACAAATTAACTGTTTATTCAAAAACGTTTCGGATGAATTACATTATGGTCACCTATGCTTAAGAACTTCAAAACTACTTAGTAATGTTTTAGCTGTTCTTCAAAATCAGCTTCGCCCAGAAATCTAATCACTGACTAGTGTTTTGGCACTCTCCTGGCAATATAAGGAAACTTGTCTCATTAGAATACCTATCAACTCAGAATCACTAAATTACTGCTCAACAAAACTAGGGCACTCAAGACTTTGAAATCAAACCACTGTTTTCATGTTTTGAGATGGTAAAGACCAAGTGACTCGTATGATGTATAGCCTTTTAGCTAAACATTGATGATCAGAAAAAGTATTAACATGTACTTTTAAATTAATCTCCTGAAGAAATAGATATCCCTAACAAAAGACTTCAGTTTACGTGAAACACCTATGACAATTTTCAATCATTCTCATTAAGTGTTCCAAAAGGCAGCAACCTAGGTGGGGGCGGCTTAGTGCTAGGCAGCATGTTGCCGCCCTGAATAAGCTGAATAATGGGCTCAGCCATCATAGGCAAGCTGAGGCGGCCCAGGCCTGTTTTTATAACTAAATTACATCATTCTTAAAAAAACACTATTCATATCACAAAACAAAGTCAATAATTAAAAATAAAGTACGATAAGTGGAAAAAATAAACTTGTTCATTAAAATTGTTATGCCAGAGAAAACTTTTGGTGAAGCAGCGATATAGAAGGCGTGTGGGCAGCGGCTGAGGGACACCTAGACGCCACCTAAAATCCATATATCTCTAACATGATTTTAATGTATATACCATGCTATAAATACTAATTAGTCAATTAGTTGGTATGAATCGAATTCATATCATGAAGGATATTGATCCATAGGAGCTACACGAAGTCATCGACTCGATGTTGAATGCTTTACAGCCTTCATATCAGTGTTATATACTTATATTACATGGAATGTGACATATTTGAAGATATCTTCCTATTCTTTAGAGCATTCAGCATTAAGTCATTAACAACGTGTAGCTCCTTTGAATCAATATCCTTCATGATATGAACTGGATGTGATACTTGGATGTTAGGTGGCACCCGGTGGCCCTCTGCCGCTCGCGATGTGCCTTCTACAACACTGCTCTCCCCAAAAAAATTATCAGGCTTTAGATTTAACAAATTTAATGAACAAATTCAAATTTTTCATCTGCCTTACTGTACCCTTAATAATTTTATATGGTTCCAAACAGCCATAGACAATTACACATACATCCTTCTATCATTAGTTTGAAGGACAAAACTTAGAGGTGAAATGACTACCATATATGATATACCTTCACAAGTCTATCTAACAAATGTGCAGCACTTTGCACATTTGAATCCGAGTCTGCCGAGAGTTTGCACAAAGCATCAAATATTTGGTTGAAGAACACAATAAAATCTCCTCTTACAACCTGAATAATATCATAAATCGTAAAAACTAAGTGAAAATACAACTATACAATAATACAAATGTGATACAGGTGCATAAGTAGATGATTTTTCCTTCACCTTGGCAATGTTATACAGTGCTTCACAAGCATAATATCGAACTCTGCTATCTTGATCAGAAAAGGAGGTGAGGACCGGTGGTACGATTTGCTGGAAAATCACAAGCAGAGGTGGATTAAACCCGACAGCAATACTTTGCAGGGAAACAACCAAACAAACTAAAAAATCCCACAAAAACTACTTATGAGGCAGCTGACGGAAGTGCTCATGGCAGGAGTGATCGTGTGAGTTTGTATGCGTGTATAATACATAAGTCTTCATGAATGTGTACAATATTCATAACTGGACTGGAAAATAATTTTCACAAATTTTAGAATATAAATTACAGGTTTGTGGAACGATCATAAACATTTTATTTGAATGTAATGATTGCAAGTCAATAACCATCGGTAGGTACACTTTTACAGTACCAATGTAAACCAAACCCATATAAATGTATAATGCAAGTATATGTCTGTCTGTGTATATATCACACACACAATTATATATAATTATATATGTGTGTGTGCACATTTTCAGGCTTAATATGTTAGTACTTCTAATGAACACTCTTTTGATTTTAATCCGTAAAGGAATTGCAAGATATAATCACATACATATTTTGTAGTTTTGTCCCTGTAACTAGTTTTTTGTTATCTGTGAGGTGGTTGACATACTGCAACCCCAAACCCCCACTGCAACACCCAAATATGAAAAAGAGCTCGGGTTGATTTCTCAAACAGTTTGACTATTTTTAAGCCCCAGATTAATCATGATGGACCGACCCAAAAAGTCAGTGTCTTCATATTTGGATTGCAGGTTGAGCTGGCATTCCTTCAGTAAAAGCAGTGCATTAAACACTAAATGACCAACAGTAGAGGTGAAGTACAACAACAGCAACAACAACAACAACATTACCCCAGTGCCACAAAGGCTCCCGCCTGCGGTGGGGTAAGGAGGGTCTTATGTACGCAGCCTTGCCCCTGTACTAAAGCACAGAGAGACTAAATGACCCATGATGAAAATCGCATCGAAAAATGCATGGACTGACTAATGCTTCATATAAAAGAAGCGCAGACAGTTTAGTGAGACATCTTGCTATATTCCATGATATCCCCAAGACAAAAAAACATAAGGGGTGAAGTATGAAGAAAAAAGTATCTGGAAGGGCCAATTTGAAAGCAGACTACAATAAATAAAACCAAAAAGAGTCTATACTGCAGTGGCCAAAAATAAATTAAACCTATACATAATTAAGCATCTCATGATGTGTTTCATTCAAGGAAACCCCAAAAAAGATGACAATTAAGGAATTTTATTCCATTAATACGGTAGAATGTCTGGAAAAGATTCAAGAAGGCATCCGGCAACTTTGCAACTACGCTTTTTTATTTGTAAATTATATAGGAATATACTTCACTTCCGTGTGTTCGTCAAGAGTCTCTACACAGGAATCTTCACCAAGTTACTCAAGAGCAAATCTAAAGTGCCCCTTAATGTCTTTATCAGTGTATTAAGACAATAACATATCTATATCATACTGTTATAGAATGCAAACACAGTGGCACACATTATAAGTTTTCCCAAAGTTGAGGGTTTTGAATCCCTAGTTTTATCAAGACGAAAGAACACATTGGAAGACACATGTACTTAAAGTCAATCGCTTTTCTCTTAAATGTTTAAAGTAAAATAAATAGCCCCTACTAAAAAACAGGAATTCAGGATATGCCTTTTAAAAAATTAAAAGGAATCATCTTCTATCTTTCAATATTTCAAGGTATGCAATAATTCAGAAAACAGAGTATTTAAGTCAGGCTTGTTTACAAATATATGTCATTCAATGGAGACATTAATGAATATAGAAATAAAATTAGTAGGGAATGTATCATTCTATTAGACATTAAAAGCAAGTCAATACTAAATTACTAACATACTTACCAGTTACCACTGAAAAATCTAATGGCAGGTTAACGTTGAAGTTCCTTATAAGAGTAAAACTCTAGAGATTATGCATACACTACCTCCGTCCCAAAAAGATTTGCCAACTTTTGAATTTTTTGATCTAACCTATTCAAATTTCATCAATGTCTTTATTGAACATGTTTTAGTGAAAAATATAATTCTTTTAGTTTCTTGAGGCTATTCTTAAGAAAGAACACTTTTATATTACTTTCATGCTCTACATCATTTCGTATAAAATATATTTCTGATCAAGTTTAAGATATTTGACAAAGGTAATAGCATATGTCAACACTTTTGGAATTGTTTGTGGTAGTCACTAAGCCATTTATGAAAAGCACGAATTACTAATCCTATTGACTGACTAACATTCCTTAGACAATAAAAGTGAAGCGTCACCTAAGCATATTTAAAGATTTTATGGTATATATTCACTGCCCACAACTCCAAAAGTGATATGTGGAAAGAAATCTTAAGAATACTCAAACAGGCAGCATAGTACAGGCATTTACTAAATTATCTTAGGCAGGCTTTTACAAAAAAAAAATGCAGCATTGCCCACCTCAAGATGTTGGGATGCTTCTGAAGTCAAACCCACAGTTGCCGCGGCTAAGCCTATCAATCCTCCCTAATCCAGGAATCTACACAAATCAATCCTCAATGCAAGAAGAAGAAATCAGCAATACTCTTATTCAATGTACAACTTACTTTCCTATTGTTTGCTTGGGGCGAATAGGCATACTCATGTGCCAACAAATTTATCACCGCTGTAATCTTGTCATGATCACCAGCGGCTGCCAGTTGCTTCACAATCCCTTCCAACTGTACAAATCGAACCCAAATGTAAAATTTTCCGGAAAAGAAAAAGATACATTAAACTAACACTTTCAGAAACCAATCCTGTAAAAAGCCAGAAACTTGAAAAGGAGACCTCGAGAGCTGCATTCTTGCGCTTCTCGTACAGCTTATCGGAGAGGTTTCGCAGAACCGCAGCTGGGACGACAGACAGAGCCTTGGCGGCGGACATTGCCTAAAAATGTCTAGAAAACCCTAGAGAGATTAATCAAATCCGCTTCCTGACCTTCTCTTGCAGAAAACGAAACATTATTCGTCCCCAATCTAGATATCCACACAGACATGCAAAGTAGGAAGGAGCACGTAACAGTGCGCAAGATGAGTAGCAACGAGAGAAGATCCAATCGCGAAGCCACAAATGCAAAACAGTTGATCGACGATTTATTCACAAATAAAATTGATTGATTGATTGATTGATTGAAAAACGTGTAATTTATTTCTGATATTTTGCGTTTGGTGTTTTTGTTTGTACTGATGTGGAAGACAGGGCGAGAAAGTGAGAAGAACAGTTGTCTGGTAGAGGCCATTTTTCTCTTAGGATGTTATTACACTCTAATTTGCTTCGTCTGGTCTGGTCTGGTCTGGCATGATCTGAATTGGTCTGATTTTGTCTGGTTTCTTTGAATTTTTATAACTATCCAAATCTGGTCTGATCTAGTCTGAACTGATCTGGTCTGGTCTGATCTGGGACGAATTACAGTCCAAATAAAAACATCCTTACAATGTTTTCCTAATTAAATTTTTACTTTTACAAATTACTACGTACGTACTATTTACTGCGGAGTATTTTCTACGGAGTATTACTGATTTACTGCTGCCGCTTCCCTCATACAGTCATTGCTGATGCCGTCATGCTCTTTCATAAAAAAAACTTAGGAATGATGTAAATAATGTGGTATAAGAAGATTATTTGGAAGGAAAATCTGATTTCAAATTCTCACTCTAATTATTTTAGATTGTAATTTTAAATATTGAATGTGTCTCATTAAAATTTGATTATTTAAGTATAAATGTTTTATAATTTTGATAGGTAGTGCTAATGTGATATTTAAGATTTTTTAAGTGCTAATTAAAACACATAATAAGCAAGCCCACGAAAATGATATAGAAATAGTTTTTGTGTGTCATATGTTTTTATCTATATCTATCTTTTTGTCTTCACTTTTCTAGCAATCACCTGTTTATTTTACATTAAAATTTTAGTTTCTTTATATCCCAAATTAAAACTAAATCAGTGATCACTCATTATCCAACTTTTTCAAAATTTTGGGGAAAAAACCTACCTCCAAAGCATTCTATCCGATCGCAACATGGAACAAAACCTCTCGTGATTCCATAAAAAATAACATCGTCTTTTGTACCACGAGCACTGGTGACACTATTTCTGGTTTGATTATTAGGGACAGGGCACATGCTTCACTACAAATCTAATACTCATACCTACACCTATTGTAACTCCAATATTTGTGATATTTTGATCAATGTGTAGTATTGGATTAGAGAGATGAATTACTCTAATATAATTATTAAATGTGACAATTTACAGTTAAATTTACTGTTTTTAGTTGCTCGTAGATTATCTAATGCGGTAGGTTTGGTGTCAGTCCCCCTACCATGTAACTTTCTTTGTTAATTAATAAGCAGATAAGGTGTTCTCGGACTCTTACCCCACGTTATGTGGGGTTACATTGGTTTTTAAAAAAATAATGGACAGTTAATTTTGGAAATTTTACTTTAAGATCATTGTAAGATTAAAAAAATGTAAATCTATTAGGATGCAAAGCAAGAGAAATGTTTTGACAAAAACTTTCACCAACTGAATAAGCTATGTTGAGGTTAAGTCCCGCAGATCCGAAAGCCCAACACGAACTTTGGATATATCAGGAATGGATCAGAATCAAAGTGTATAACAAAATATAAAAGATGAATCAACGAATGCTCAAAAGCCCACTTGTATTAATTAACATGTTTGATTACAAGGAAACTTCCCGATCGGTACGTCGGAACTGTGCTTTAATACAAGAAACGAGAGTAATAATGCTATTCTAGAGCTTGAGTATCAAAATACTAACCCTTACAATGATATTAAACCTTCTATTTATACTAATGGAGAGCATGAGCTGCTCTGTACTGATTGGCCATTGTTCCACCGACTTGATCACCCATGCTTCCACTTGCTGATGTCACAATCTGGCATTAATTGCATCTGGCCACTTGCTGGTTGTCCGTTGCTCGAACGGGATGCTGGACCATGCGGAAGACGCTGTCAAATTGGCCCAAGTATGATGTATGATCCGAACTCCGTTCGGTATTTCTGCTTTCTGGGCCGGCCTCTACTTGGACCGAACCTCGTTCGGTATGGATTCTTCACTGGGCCTACTCATCATAGGGTAATGGGCTCGCTGCTTTGGCCCGGATATCCTGGGCCTTTAATTCGGGTACTGGGCCTCTGAGCCAATATCCCAACAAGCTATAAATATAGAATCCATTTTATAGCTCTTGTTTTAGTTTATTAAACTTATCAGTCAACTTTTTTATCAAATGCATAATTTTTTATTACACGAACTAAATAAGTTAAAGTTACCTTATGTGGACGTATTGAATGAAATTAGTCTAGAGGGTCAATCATTTCAGGCCTTCAGTCAGGATTTCATCAATTTGAACTCGTCAAACAATTTCAATCCCACCAATCAGGCACATAATTTTGCTTAAACAAGGGACCAAAGTGAGTATTCCTCATCATGGTTAATTGTCTAGCAATCTAGGTGGTTGATTTTTTTTTTGTTTCATTTTATTAGTCGAGTAAGTATAGAATAGTTTCCATGTGATTAGTCCACAATGAATATGTTTTTCTTAAAGAAAATTGTCTATATTGATATCATTAATTTCAGAATTATCATTAATTTCAGAATTGTTACATCAAACAAAGATATCAAGTTCTATGTACTAACCTCCATAAACTATGACTGTACGACCTACGATTAGACAATAAATGATCACCCCTGAAAGAGCAGCATGAATCGTTAATCACGAAACAAACTTGACAGAACTATCACTGGTTCTATGGATCCATATACTTCCAACGACATAAAAATAAATTGACTTTTCAATCATCTCGTTAAACCTAGCAACATAGACTTTAACAAAAATTCAAACAACAAAATAAAACACATAACTAAAGTGAGTCAAGAGAAAAGATAACTTCAAATAGGGGCTCCACACAATCTTGTTGTAGCAGCATCCTTGAAAAGTTTTCTTCCAAACCTAACCACTCGTTCACTCTCAGGCGGCGGCTCAAGAGTGGAAGTAAATCACCACTCATAACACCTAGAAAAAACCAAATGCCATCTCTGATGCTTCAATTCCCTCTTTGTGATGCTTCTACACAAGCCAACGTGACAGACATGTGACTATGTAGTTAGAGTTTCCTAGAGAGTCATTTGTGTAGCCCACAAACTACCACACCCAGGTGCTCCCTATGTCGCTCCAATCTGGCGAAGCCTCATCAGTAAAAACCATATCGGTAAGAGACCACCATATATGTTTTGCTGAAACTCTCCAACAGGACATAACCGTTAAGCCGAAAGTCATCTCTTATAACCCTTGGCTCTCCTGCTTCACTGCTACTTCTTCGAGCCAAAGGAGAAGGGTGATCGGCGCACACCAAACCCTAGGACGAAATTCGCCTATCTCTACTGCCTCTTTCTAACTAAAAATGCCAAACATCCAAATACTAGTGGAGAGTTCCACCGCTAGAAAAAAAACTCTGGAAAGCTAGGAATCGGTCGCCTCTTTCTAAAGAGGTTGGAACTTTCGATGAATGGAAATGTTGATATTTCTCAACTGTTATGCAAAGTAGTTATTACCATATAGCAATATTATCATCACTATTGAAACATTGATCTTATTTAATAACCTCTTAAAATGTTTTAATTGGACTACTTTCAGTCTCAGACCAAAGTTGTAACACCCCGGCCTCGCAGGACCCGAGGTAGCTACTCTAGACCAATAGTACTGTCCTCACAAACCACCACGAGCCTTTATCGCGCACTTTGTCCTCACTCATGCGCGCCCTGAGAAACTTCCCAGGGGGTCACCCATCCCAAGACTACTCTCGTGCAAGCACGCTTAACTTTGGAGTTCTTGGGTGATGAGCTCCCTTAAAAGGAGATGCACCTCTGTTGGTATGAGTAGTACTATTAATCCTCTTAAATTAATCTCGGGTATTACAAAAGTAATCTTAAATAGACCAAATCAGATCATTTCATACTTCGTGAGGAGTAAAATATGTACTCCATTTGTCTCATAGAAAGGTTCTCGATTCGGTTTACGATGTTTGATTGGCGATAAAGCAATGTGATCCATGTTCACACTCTACTTATTTTTAGTAAATAAACTTTATATATTCAGAAACCACATTAAAAAATTTACAAAAGCCTGATCAAGAAAATTTAAATTTGATAAAAGTTTGATATATAAAGCAAAATATTAAGAATGTTTAAAATTGATCATGTGAATAGTGGTTTGAAACATTTGAATTGGACGGAGGTAGTATATGAAAGACATCTACCAATTCAAACCAAACTTATTCAATCAGGCTAGACCAAATTTACACAGATCAAATCAAACTAAATCTGATCATATCAAACTAGAAATTTTCATTCCAATTAAAAAACTAACGACTGAGGGAGTAAATAGGCAAGTGGCGACCAGCCGACCATAGCATTTTAGAATATACTACGTAAATAGTTTATTTAATAGAAACAATTAGTTCTTTAATTGTTTTATAAAGTGTGTCCCGTTTTTACCTTTTTGTTTTGGATTTTCATATTTAAAGGGTTACCTACTCATAGCTTCATAGGTAGGCATGTCAATGGACATTTTTAGACCATGATTTGATTTAGAAAAAATGTCAAATAAGTTCTCCTATTACTACGAAAATGTCAATTAAGTCCACAAACTCAAATATCACTCAATTAAGCATGCGAACTTGTAAATAACATTCAAATCTGTTTTTCTTCAGGCGATTTACAGATTATTAGGTAAATGACGACACGTGGCGACATATGGTGTGAGGTGGCACTTATTTTCTTTTCGGTTTTCTTTTTCTTTTCTTTCTTCTTTCCTTCTTCCTTCCTCTCTTCTCCCGTTGACCCTTTCTTCGCCCAACATGTGATCCTTCGAATCTATTTTCTTTTGAATTCATTTTTGGGTCTCTCCTCGTTGGCTCAAATGCTCAATTACAACGCCAACTCGCCATGCTCCCCCCTTTTTCTGTTAAAGTAAAACAAAGCTCCTTCATGTTTCTCATTTCTATTTGATTTTTAGATTTTGACATGCTAGTTTTTCCCGAAAGTTATGAAGTGTTTAATTAATATTTTAATATTAATATTCAGTAAATAAAGTACACATTTTTAAAGGGAAAAACATTTCTAAATTGGTCCATTTACAGATAAGGATTACT